GGAAGAGCAACAGAACCGAGTTGAAATGGGTTGCTTACTAGCTGTTAGAACTTCAGCAACAGGCAAAACTTCCCAGTTCCCCTGTGGATGAGAGGTCCACCCACCGTGCTGGTAAAATAGCTTGTGACACTGAGATATTTTCCATGCATGAATTTCATTGCTACCCTCCCCCCTCCCAACACCCATGCTCAGTAACCAGGCCTGGGCCTCCCTCCACTGTGCACACCTACTCCTGCACATCTGTCAGCCTCTCCCCACCTGTCAGGTAACCCCTGGTGATGCAGCCATCCTATTGGACGAGGTTCCTGATTCTATGGTTGGAGGGTGTCGTTGGTGCCCAGGCCCTCATTTGTCCCTCTGGTTCACACGATCCATGACCATCTGTGCCAAGATGATTTTCAGTATGCCCATCTCTTTTGTTCAGACGACTTTCAGATCCTATGGCCTCAGTTCTTGTGACAAAGATTTCAAAATGTTTATTATTACTAGCATCCCCCATCTGAAAAAGCTTCACTTGTTAATATTCAACTCAAACAGTTTGCCTGAGTTTTATCAAATGCTCCAGGGAGGACCATGGCAGCAGGTGCACCATCTCTTAGTTCTGAATGCTAGAGTTCTACCAGTGTGTTTAAAGGTGTATGAACCTGGTTTAAAGGATAATAAGCATTCTTTGATAATGTCCCCTAAACCCTCTGCATCTCTTTCATGGGAATATCTGCTTAATTTTCTACACGTTGTTGATCCTGCTCTTCAGCATCACATAAATTGTTTACATTTATCTCAAGATAGTGTTGGTTCCCACCTTTTTCAGAGTTCTCATAGACAGTCCTCCTCTCTCCCTAATAGCTGAAGGCTATAGTTTCTTTTGAGCATCCTTGAAGTATAGGAAGCATCGACTTTGGTGTCTGCCTTCACTGGTCACAACTGTGTTGAACCCATTAATTTTATTTGAAACTAGTGTTAAGCTAGTTGTTAATTTCTTTAAAACTAGTGTTATTTCTTTAAAAGAAATTTTTTTATTACCATACATGAAAATGCCAATTGCCCTTAGAAGAAAAACGCAAACACAAACAGAAGCAAAGCAAATATATTACATTCTAGAAAACATACAGTTGCTTGTCCAGGGCTTTATTTTAAAGGGGACATTAGAAGTTTAGAGATGTGTTTCAGGCATTTTTAATCAAAATAAAATTCAAAAACCAATAGTTGGCTGAAAATAAGGCTGTAGCTGAAAATCAAGGATTTTAAACCCCTATTTAGGCTTAAAATCTTGAAGGGGGAATAACATCCCCTCTGTGTGATTCATGTTATTGAATGAGCCACCTGGACCACATGGATCCCAAGTGACATTTGTCCTGCACTTTGGTGAGACATTCTTTTAAGCCACTGATTTAAAGATCCCATTTTGGCAAGTAACGTTAGATCCAGGGTACACACATAGATCGACTTCTCATTCCCATCAAATAAGAGACTGCGTAATTCCCTTTGTGAGGAGGGGAAGGAAAATGACCTCTTATTTTCCCTGACAACTTTACTGAGGTAATTTCTGGTTTACAGGTGAGACAGGTGGAGATTGGAGAACAAAATGCTTTGTCCTGGGCAGCACCTTTAGGGGTGAGGATTCCAGGCTTGAATCTTCAACTTCTGGCTTTCCCCACCCCCATCTTAAGAACAGATGTGAAAACTTGGAAGAATTGAGAAATTCATCAACTGGAAAATTTTACTGTACTCCTACCTGCATACCATCCCAAAAAGACTGAGTCTGCTTTCTGAAGGTGATTAAGCTTCCTTATTTCCACAGAACTGCTATTGATTCTACTGTGCAGCCCAATTTGAGAATCAACGGTTTGTAGCAGAAGCACAGGCATTCCCATGGTAGCTTTTCTGCAGATGGACAGCTCAAATGGGTGATTCTTCTCTGAGTTGGTCCCAAGGCTTCCATGTAAAGTGGCTATAAATTCCACCTCTCCCCTAATGGGAGGTGGTCCTGGATGGTTCTGGTGTATCTTTCAAGATACCTATTTATCCTGCTTATTGCTCAGTGTCTGAGCATCCCACTAAAGCCAGGGTCCCTTTCCCAGGAGACATCTACACCACTGACTCCCTTGTGGCTCTTATCTGACTATGTCCAGTTTATTCCTCCCGAGATTGCCACTCTCTAGGAGAACCCTGACCGGAAGGAGTGAAGTTTGTCTCAGATACAACACAATGAGGGTGAAGACAAAATACTGAATAGGAAGAACAAGTCCCGGGAGGTCAAGGGTGCCGAGGGCAAGTCTGGAGGCAGCAGGAAGCTCAACCAGTGGATGAAGTGGAGAAAGCAGGGGAGAGAGGGCCTGTGGGGAGATGCCCTTAAGAAGGATCATCAGCCTATCTCTTAGGCTTTCCAAGAAGGATGTGGATTGGCTAGTTTCAAAGAAAACACGTGCAAAGCAGGGAACTTACTGATGTGGCTCTGTTGTTGACCCGTGGGTATTACTGTGGTCAGCTGGCTTTGGATGGGTAGGATGAGAAACAAGTGGGCTTTATTGCAAATGACCACATAGGAGAGGAATTTTTAAGTAGCTCAAAGGTGATGGGTACCACTGGGCTTCAAAAGACTTATGTCAGGCCTAAAAATGGATGCCTAAAATTTGTGAACACTGGTGTAGATCACTCTTTCTAGATAGGAGAGGAAAAAGAAGAAAAAACGAAACAGCAGCAGCAGCCCAGGTAAATGAAGTGACTTACCCAGGACTGGGGGACAAATACAAATTAGAAATAAAAGGCTTAATTCTCCCTGTTGGAAACAAGAGATTCCCCCATGCCTGCCTTTTCTTGGAGCAACTACTTTAGGAAACTTTCTTCTTTTTCAGTCTCTTTGAAATGCATATAACTCTTTGTAAAACTAAGAAGCCTCTTACCACCAGTGTGGGTCAGGAATGCCTTTGTCAAGGACCTGGGAACCATCTCATTGAAATATAATGGCAAAGAAGACAACAGGGTCTACCAGTCTCTGCGAGGGGTAAGAGCCTAACTTCAGCAGGTGCCTTGCTCCCCAACTGCCACTTGTATAGTACATTCTGTGCAGCGGGTATCACTCCAAAATTGCTTTATGTTTCAGATGTTAAGCAATTTGCCTGAGGTCACCAAGTCAGCCAACAGGAAAACCAGGATTTGAACTGAAGGTTGAAAGTGATAAAGCAGCAAAATATTGTTGAGAGCCACAGCCAAGTTGGGATGGCGCATGGCATTTTGCCAGGAGTGGTTAAGAGGTGATGCCAGCGAGCCATTAAGATGATAATTGCTGTGACTGGATTGAGTTGTATATGGACCCTGCAGTCCGGCAATAGGGCCGCTCCAGGAATAGGGCGGCTAGGGAATAGGGCGGCTCCTGCTGCCTCGGGCGGCAGCTACTTTGGAGTTCCTGTTGAGTTCTCCGGATTCCCATCGGAGCCCGGTGGAGGTTGAGAGAGTTCCTGGGAAGTGCGCATGGAGTGCTGGTGGAGTTCGGGCAATAAAGTAGTTCCTGTTTGAACCTACAAGTACCTCATGGCGGCTTGGTTATTTTGTGCCCAGCCAGACTGCAGCAAAATATCCCCCACTGTCCCCACATGTAGGACACAAAGACACTGATAAAGAAAATGCTTAAGTTCCCTGGAAGCTGGCCTAAAGCAGGCATGCAGTGTCTGTGGGGTGAGGGGCTTACAGCCCAGGTCTGGAGCCCCCTGGGGCTGGGTGTGATCAGTGGCTGCTATTACAGACCTGGGGCCTCACTTGTGGACTTGGGATAACAACAGCAACAGTGCTGGGATCCAACATTGATTGAAGCTAACTACAGCCTTGATTTTCCTCATCTCTGAATTAGGAATGACAAGAATAATGATGATTTATGAAATGATAAAATTTATAAAATGATGATTTATAAAATCTCTGTTCTAAGAGATATACACACCTTAGTCTTCCTTGTTGGTAGCTTAGAAATATCAACAATAAATGATATGAACCATTGAGTGACCACTTAAAGGACATAAGTGCCTGGTCTATGGGATTCATCCACACATCTCAGATTCACTCCCCTATGGATGGAGGGTAAGGAATCATATCGTAAGTGACAGCTAACATTTACTGAGGATTCGCAGTGCTACGGGTCCTCTTCTGAGAATGCTCTGTTCAACCAGAAGACGCCCAGCCTCCCTCCTGCCCTGCCACTCCCCAGTGATGTCTTCCTCCCCCCCAACACCTGATCTGCTCAGCCAGATGGCTCCTCAAACAAAGCACAGTGCTGTCCCACCTCACAGACTGCTGAGACTTGCCTTCTGCCAGGCACGCCTTTCCCTGTGTGACTCACTCCCTGACTCCTGTCACCTCCCTACTCACACATCCTCTCTGGTGAGACATCCCTGTCCACCCTGGTTAAAGCCAGGGTCTTTGATGGTGCCTGGAACACAGCAGACAAGCAGCAAGTGCTTGTTTGATCCATGTTTAGTAAATGGGTAGCGACTGACACAAGGTGCCGTTTGGAATTGGGTCCCCAGGGTCAGTCTTCTAGCTGACATCTTTAACAGACTTAGGAATGAATGCAAAAGCCCTCTGGAGACCCACGAGATGGACACCCCATACGAGGATGCAGAGCTCGGAGTGTTTGAAGATGGAAGGGGTAGCCTTGCTGCCCAACCCCAGAGTGGAGGGCAAGGGTGGTCTGAGGTCAGTGGGAGACAGTGGGGACAGCAGAGACCTTGGCAGGGAGGCAGGGGCATTTCTGGACCTCAGGAGACTCACAGGACCTGAGGACCTGGCCTGGGTCTTTAACACAATCCCTGTCATCCTTGTTAGCAGGTGAGGTCCCCCGAGGTTATCCTGTACCACTTGACACCCACTTATGCACTAATCTGCTCTGCAGGAGGGGTGGGTAGAGTCTGGCGCTGCCCTGGTGCTCTAGATACCCGTGTCCCCCAGGCTTGACCCCAGCTCCCATCCCCAGTGACCCCTGGAGTACAGACTGAGCCGTGGAGCCTGAGGACAATCTGAAATCACCACTTTTATTTTTTGGCAGGCCTTGAAGGAAGGTCGAGACAGGATGGAAGGGGTCTTACTGGCCTAGGGGGACATTGGGGCCAGCTCCACCTGCTGCTCCAAGTCCTCTTCATTGTGGGTGGAAGGGAGCTGGTGGCCAGCCTGTGGGCAGTGGAGGTCAGGCTGAGGTTCCTGGTGTCCTGTGAGGCACCCCACATCCGCCGCCCCTGCCCACCCTGCTCTCACGCCCTCTCCAAGGGCCTCCAAGGACCCCGCGGCTCCCCTCTACGGACTCCGCCTCTGCCTGCCTCCCCCTGCTCCTACCTCTTCTCTGCGGACCTCAGGGACTTTGGCACTCCCGGTTTGTCCCTCGAATTTCTCAAACTCCGCCTTCAGCCTGCGGGGACCAGGCCGAGGAGCCGAGGGCGAAGAGTGAGAGTCAAGGGGGCGTTAGGAAGCCAGAGACGGGTCCAAAGACCCCGCAAGGGGCACCCACTCACCCAAGCTTCTCTGCAGGGGCGCCCTGAACTTCCCGGGCCGAGAGCAGCCGTTGCTCCACCTCCTGCAGCCTGGCCTGAAGCATGGTCCCTGTGGGTGGCAGGGCATCAGCGCTGCGCCCACTGCTGGGGTCCCCACTGCCCACCCAGCTGCAGGCTCACTCTCTGCCAGCAGCTGCTCCTTGCTGCGCTCTAGAATGCCAATCTCCTGGGCCAGTCGCTGCTCCAGCATCTGCGGGGACAGAGGAGACCTGTCACTCGTCTGTTCTTGGCTGCATCTCCCACTCTCTCCCTTTTGTGCTTCTGGCACAAAAGATCTGATGACCAGGCTGGGTCTTTAATAAGGTCCCTCTAATCCCTGTTGTCCAGACCCTTACCTACCCTAGGCCACTCACTCATACCCTTATTAACTCGACCTGCAGTTTCTGGGTGGCTGGAGACCTACTTCCCCCGAGGGCAGCCCTATGTCCCTGTGTATCTCTCATTTCTCCCCCAGCCACATTGTCCTCTATTCTGTTTGCTGTTCATCAAACTTCTCAAAAGTCCCAGGCAGAGTTCCGCCTCAGGGCTCTGCACCAGGCTTTCCTTCTGCCAGGAACACGGGCACCCACACAGTGCTGGGCTTTGTCCCTCACTCCCTTCAGTTCTGCGCTCAGATGGTACTGCTCAGAGGCCTTCCCACTGGTACAGGACCTGTCCAACCTGCTTCCTTGGTAGGATTCTGGGTATGCTCCAACCAGCCAGTTTGGGGTGGCAAACATGGGTTCACCACAGCCTCTCTCTGCCTGGGTGCTGCCCGAAGCACCCATTAACACCTGGAGGAAGGCTTTCTCCAGGTTCCCATTTGCCACCGCCAGGTGAACTCTCTCTAGGTGAGCAGGAGGGAAGCAGATCTGCAGGCTATGGCGACAATCCCCAGGGATGCTGGACGCGACGGTGGTGCGTGGTGAAAAGTGTCCAGATGTGAGGGGAAAGGTGAGCAGAGTCAGGGACTATCACATGGCATTGGGCCTGAGTAGGGGCGGGCGCTGGGCCAGTCCGCAGGGACACTGAAGCAAGGGGGGGAGTGGCTTTGGTTGCAGGCAATCATGGCTTACATGGAACTCCCAGAGGTCCTTGTGCTGGTCCATCAGATCCTCCAGCTGCTCTTCCACATCCAACCTGAGGACGGAGACCCAGGAATGAGATCCCAGGCTAGGACCAACACCCAGCGTGGCCGGGTCTGGGGCTCCTCATGCCTAGGCCTTCAGACCACCGCCCCCTGCTCTCTCTGCTGGAGTCCCTTCCTGGGCTTTACCCTCCAGGCTTGGTTCCAATGTCTCCTCTTCCAATAAACATTTCCTGAGGCAAGTCCCACTCTCACTCCACCCAATGGCCCTCCAGACTCCAGGCTTTGGAGTTACCCCAGGTTTCTCTCTTTGTGATTCTGAAATCAGAGAGTTGTGGACAGGAATGTGCTCCTGCATCATGTGCTTCCTGAGAAAGACCACCTTCAGTCATATTCTCTGACTGAGCCCCTCTCTCCAGCAGGAGTGGGGGTGGGGCACCTCTTCACATTTACCCACTGCCTTGCTTCTGTGGAAAGTGACCCTTCATGGGCCTCTGTCAAGACCACCACTCTGCTCTGCCTGTTCCCAACAGAACTGAGCCTTCCCAAGAAACTTTATTAGGGGTGTGGTAATTTAGTAAAATGGATTCTAAAATCCTGACTTGAAGCCTACATATTCTACTCCACTGTGACCCTGGACAAGTTTACTTATTCTTTTTTCCGGGTCTCACTTTCCCCATACATAAAAGGTGCTACTGGTGTATTGTGAGGATTAGGTAAATAAATGAACATAAACATTCACCAGACTGCATGTAGTGTGGTAAGCACACATGCATTAAGTACCTATTATCAAGTTTCTCTATGCAATTAAAGTCATGGTGTCCTGGGACATGGGACTTTTTTCATAGGACGGTGCTAAGTAAGATTCGAACAGAAGAATGGATGAACAGTTAACTGGATGGATGAGTGGTTGTAGGAGAGATGGTGAGTGGAGGGATGATGGTTCAATGGAGAAATAATGGAAGGACTGTGGAAGGATGGATAGATCTTTGGATGGGTGGCTGGGGAAGAAATAAATGGCTAGATGAAGGGATAATGGGAAAGGTGTAGAGGGGATGAATGCATGGTTGGATGGATAGAAGAGGATTAGAGGGAGATTGAAGGTATGGCCACTGGACGCGATGCAGCTGGCTCTCTGGGTAGGTGAAGGGATGAATGAGTGAGCAGGGGCGGGGCAGACGGACAGGCAGGTGAAATGACGACTGGGGACCTAAAATGAGCAGATAGATAAATGAATGGATGGATGGAAGAGCTGGATGGGTCATAGGGAGAGACTAACAACAGTGGGTGGAGTTTATTTGACAAAGAAGTTCATAACAAGTTTCTAAACTGTTCGATCACTCTTATTGACACCATTTAGAAAAATCAATGACCCGGGAAGTTTCGTCTGGATGCTGTACTATAGAAAGGGCCACGAGGGGTGTGGAGTCAAGATTCTCTCTCCTCACTCTTGCTCCCTCCTCCTCAGGGTGGAGAAGGAGTGGGGCAGAGCTGGGGTAGCCATGGGCAGAGCTGGGGTAGCCCTCTCACCTCGGCGCCTCAGTGTCCCACTCCTGGCAGTGCTGTCGGAGGATCATCACCGCCTCTGTGGAGAAAGGAACCAAGATGGCACTGTGAGAGCTCCTGGGGGCCCAGGGTTGGAAAGAGGCAGGGGGCCCCACATCACGCTGGGCACCAGGAGGTACTGAGAAGACGCGGGTGTGTATTTCAAGTGGGGAGGCAAGCCAGGGAGGGATTGGAGCACAACAGGGACTTGGGTTTCAGTGGGAAGGACTCCTCTGGCTGCTCTGGGGACTGGGTTTCTGTGAAGTAGGGTTAGAAGAAGGAAAAGGAAGCAGCAGGTAAATACCTTGCTTTTTGCTCAAGACCTCCTCGATGTGCACCTTCTCTCCATTCACTGGAAAGCACAAGGACACTTTTAGTTCCTGGGGGACACATCTCATGTCCCCTTCATGTCAAGGGCAAAATCACATGGGAGTTATGGCATGGCCCCAGGAGCGGCAGGATATGTTCTTACTACCTCTGTACCCATCTCCCACGGGGAAATTCCTGACCCCGCTTCACCTCAGGGACCACATTCCCTGTAAGTGCCAAAGGAGTGGGCACCCTGAAGCCTGTACGGAGTTTACACTGAGGAGAGAGATGACCATAAAGAAGTCAGTGACCTGCCAGGTGGGAATAAATGCTTTGAAAAAAGGCAGATCAATCAGGAGAGTGAGAGGAACAGAAAGAGGGTGGGAATCTAATTTTAGAAGATCCCATCAAGTTGGGCCTATTGGGCTGTTGGAGCTGAGAGCTGAAAGACGACGTCACACAGCAAGAGGCAGTCTGGACTGGGAGGGCTAAGAGCTTTGCCAAGGCCCTGAGCCATTGCAGGAACACCAGCAGTGGTCACAGGGTCTCTGGGCCCCTCTTTTGTCCCCACTTACAGGAGTCTAGTTCCTTACACAAGACCTCCCGGCGAGCTTGGGTCTCCCCTAGTTCCTCGTTGGCTTTCTTTGCTGGGCCAAAGGAAGAAAAAGAAGACTGTGTTAGGGCAGCCTCTGGCCTTGCTGTGCTACCACACACCATGACATGTTCATCTCCAAACAGCCCTGGAGGGGCCTGGCTTTTACAGATATGGACCCGGAGGCATTCAACATCCAGGCCTCTCCTGCTGGCCCAGCTGGCTAGTCGAGGTTCCCAGGTTTACCTTGCTGAAGCTCATTGATCCGGTTAATCAGATCCCCAATCTGCGGCTCCAGGCTTCCCTCTAAAGAAAGGAAGAAGGATTGAGTGGGAAAAGACAGATGCCTGGCTGTGCAGGGCAGGAGCAGGGGGTGGTGCGTGCTGCCCCAGGGCCTCTGCTGCTATCAATCAACAGACATTTACTGAGCCTCTGCTGTGTGCTGGGACCTGTACAAGGCACCTTGCAGGGTTTACATTCTGGATGGGGGAGAACAAAGACATTGAACAAAGACATATGAGCTTGGGTGGCAGTGGCTGCGGTGCAGGGAAGTAACCTGAGGAGAGGTGTTGAAGAATGACAGGGTAAAGCTGCTTCTTGAGATTTAAGTCCAAGTCAAGTGGGGTCTGTGCGGGGAGAGCATGGGGAGGAAACCGTTCCAGGCAGAGGGAACAAGCGCAAATGCCCTGCGGTAGGAGGGGGAGGCTTGTGTCCCAGGCAGCAGGGAGGGGCTGGTGTGGTGGAGTCTAGCCAGCAGGTGGAGAGGAGCAGGAGGAAGTGGGAGGGGATGTCACTCAGGGCCCCTGGGGCTGTGGAGGCCATAGATGCCATCCTGAGTGAGGCAGGAGCCAGTGGAGGCTTCCTGGATGGCCCACCCTGGGAACAGCTAGGCAGAGCAGGTCAGCTTCTGCTAACCTGGACTCTGGTGCTGGCCTCCTGAGAAAGGAGGACAAGGCTTTCATGTTGCGGGTGGCAGCTGGCCAGCTCCCCGGTGACAGGGAGATCACTGTCCCTTTAGGAGTCACCTCTCACTTCTCAGTCCCTGTTTCAGTGCACTGTAGGGAGAAGTCCCATCCCTCTCTGGCTCCATGGTGGGTAAACTGGGTGGGTAGAGCTGGGCGTAAAGCTGCCCCACCCTTGGCAGGTCTCACTGCCAACCCAAGACAGTCTGGAGTTAATAAACTCAGCTTGGGTTTTCTGAGGTCACCAACTCCTCCACCTGTACCTTTCAGAGAGTGGGCCTCTTTGCAGTGCTATCACATCCCACAAGTCTCTGGGGGCTGAGGGGTCCTTTGTATTACTGGAGAAGGTCGGGTTATCTTCTTACAGTGTCAGTCTAGGCAGGGGTCCCAAGTTCTTCTGCAGGAGCCACAGGATGGGGGAGGGGCTCCCTTTTGTTTGGCGTAGACCAGTGGAGCTCAGCATCCAAAGCTGAGAATGGGCTGGGGCTCTAACCTCAGCCTCCCCAGCGCCAGCACTCTGCTCCAGCCCTGATGTGGGTACCTGCAAGGTGGCCCCAGGCCCTTTGCAACATGGCCACTTGCAGCTTGTACATCAAAGGGAAGACAAAGGAATATTTGCCTAGGAATGTATTTGTTTTCAAGTCTCTGTAAAGATACTTAACAACTTAAAAGCAGCTGTTGCTCGCCTGTGGACCAAGGAAATGGCTGACTGGTTTGTGTGTGTGTGTGTGTGTGTGTGTGTGTGTGTAAGCAGAGTAGATTTTCCATTCTCTTAGACTTCCTGAATTTTGGAGTGTGGGGCTGTCTTTTTGGTTCAAGGTTGTGAGTAAAGGGATCTGGGTTGGAAGCATGTTTATGATTCAAACCCAGCCCAAGGTTTAGACCCTAGGCACAAGACCTTTTTGAAGTTTCTTCACGATTGCCAGCAAATCTCCCGTCTTCTTTGAAGACTTGTCCTGCCCTGTGGAGATGAAAACTAGAATTACAGGATCCAAGGAGAGACAGAAGGGGTGGAGGGAAGGTCCAGGCCCATCTGGAAGGGGAGGAAGGAAGTTCCTGAGGGCTCTGTGGACAGCCCTGGGTGGAAGCCTAGGCTAAGCCAACGGTCACATTTCCAGACAGAGCAGGTCCCCTGCAGTAGTACCCCTGTCTTTTGTCCCTGAAGTTCAAGGGTGTGCTAGCTGAAGCAGAATCTCTAATGGCCACTTTTCCCTTAATGAAACTCATGAATGAGAGCAGGGGGTGTTTGCTACTGCTGCTCTTCAATGTTATTCTGAAGGTCAACCAATGCAATCGGGCAGACAAGGATATGCATGGCTGCTAACATTAATAAAAATAACCACGGGATGTTATAAGCCTCTTGAGAACTAACACTACTAAAGGGGGATTCTCCCCCTCAAAAGCCCTATAATAAACAAAATAAAGGGAATCACCCCAGGCTTCCCTATCTTAATACTACTTCAAAGGAAATACAAAGGGCTGGTGAACATTGTAAATGACACCTTTGGAGACATTATCATCATTATCATTATCATGCAGACTGTGAGAAACTGCAGGAAAACCTGTTTTCTTCAACGAATAAACTGTGAAGGAGAAAATAAAGGATCAGGAAAACTCTATGTTGAAAACCTTATACTGAGGCAGGTATCCATCAACATTCAACAAATAGGCCTTATTCGGATCCCGACTGAAACAAAGGCACTTTTCACCATATATACTTCTGTATACATTTTAACATGGAGACTTTATTACTTTTAAAATTCAAACAACCACCACAAAACCCGCAGGAAAATATTAGCACTTTCAAAACATCTTAAATTCTTTAAACCAATGAGAAAAGGTCAAGACCCAGTGACCATTTCTCCCCAAGGAAAATGAGGCAGAAATGCAGCCCATATACACGTACAGTAGCAAAAAAGTGAACGCAGAAATGCTTTCCCACAACAGCATCTGGTGAAATGCCCCTCTCCCTCAGACCCTAGGAGCCCCTACTCCCGTCCTCAGAGGTCATAACTGTTACAAGCCATTTAATTCATAATCAAACATAAACTCCATTTTCTGTGGAAATGGTAGTAAGTTTTACATGATTACACACATTTTGTATTTTTTCATTTGACAGTGTATACTGGTGATCTTATTTTTAGCGGCCACACAATGTTCCACCGCCTGGATATACCATAATTTAAGAGCAATCTCCTACTGATGGACTTCTAGGCTGTTTCCCTCCTTTTGTTATTTACACACAGTGCCACAATGGCCACCCATATTGCTTTTCTTAGCTGCTGGAACAAAGTACCAAAAACCAGGCCTTCCCTCCTTGTCTGTCACCAGATACCATTCTCTCTGTGTAGATCTTTGTGCCCATATTTCCTTCCTTATTGAATTATAACACACCCTATCATCTCAAATAGTTGTATCTGCAAAGACCCTACATTCGAGGCCACATTTTGAGGTTCTGGTGGGTATAAAGCTCGGGAGGAGCTCAATTTTACCTAGTACACCATCCCTGTACATCCTTCTTTGTGTTTGTATTTGTGTGTATTTAACTAGATACCCCGAGAACATGATGCAGGGGCCACCTGTGGCAACAAAGGTTATGCTTAATATTTAAACTGGCTCATATTATGAAACTGCCCTCCACATTTTTGAGGCCCACAAAGGAACTTCCCCCTACTCTTACCTGCCAACTATAATTTTCAACCCCGTTCCTTTTTTGCCCATCTGATAGGGAGAAACGGTGTTTCATTTCACACCTTGCGATAATATCAAGAACTTCCTCATCTCCTTTGCATCAGAAATTCCACTCTGAGGAACATATCTTAAGGAAATAGTTAAGAATGATGGGCAAGGAGTTTATTGCTTCACTATTTGAAATCCTAAAATAAAGAAGTGACCTGAAGATTGCTTAGGAGATTAGTTAACTACAGCCTATTTGTAGGATGAAATTCTCTAGTGGTTTAAAAATCATATTGTAAATCAGAGTTTTGTAACCTGAGCTTATTTTGTTGAAGTGTTTGATGGCATCTCTACCTTCACCTTCTTTACATTCTTTGGTCTGGCCTGAAATCTTTTATAAATTAGTTTAATTGGGCATTTTAATTTGTAAACTACTTAAATAATGAACAAATGTAGAACATGGAATTAAAAGTCTCCTATCACCAAGAGCCTCTTCTCCAAGTCATCCCCTTCCCAGAAGTAAATGGCCAGCAATTTAGTGATAGTTCGACCGTTCAGTTCTTACTAGTAACATTCTAAGAAAGTTCTGCACCACAGAAATACGTGAAGTTAAAAATGGCACTCCCCCTCCTCTCCCTGGCCCTCCATCTCTCCGCCCAGATACAATCACACTGAGCTGGGAGTCCCCTCTTGAGACATTTTAATTATTAAAATATTCTTAATTTTTAGAAAGGAAACCAAAACTACTTTAAGTAACAAGGAGAAGTGTTTGTCAATGTTTTAAGATTTTGTGAACAAATTTCAAACAATTTCAAATGCACATGAGAACAAGGACGCCTTTGTGGACTCCAAGGTGCTCATGGCCCAGAGCTGACAGCTTCTTTCCTTGTGTTCAAGTATCTTCAAGCAAGCCGCAGGCGCCTTGACATTCATCCCCAGGCATAATTTTGAGACATTTTCTAGGATAACCCTAGTCCTAAAATCACACCCAAAAAGGTGAAAAATCATCATGGAATATCACATAATGCTCAGACACATATAATGTCCCCCAATTGTCCCGTCTTTCCTAGCTGGTTCTGGCAACTATTTCTGCAAAAGCTCACCTGTGTATTTCTTCCCTGCAATGTTCTAGTGCTAGACATGAGGCCAAGAGAAAGCGATATCCATCTTTTAAGGAATCTAACATCTTGTAAATGTTTAAAAGTTGCATGTGACACCAGGAAGCAGCCTGTGAACTATGAATCCCCTTTGAAACATTTTATTTTGAAATAAATTTCACATGTAACAAAAGTTGTCACAACAGGCCACAGTGCTCCCATTTGCTCTTCTATCAGATTCCCCATTGTGAGTATTTCTGAACCACGAGTCGCAGTCATTTGGTCCATTACTCTTTAATATTCCAGTGTATGCTTCCTATATACACAGGACTCCACCAAGTAACCACAGTACGACCATCGAAATCTGGATGTTAATATTGATCCAGTATTAGTATATGAGCCTCAGATGCCATTCACTTTTCCCTCTTTCCCCCTTGTATTTTAGAATTACACAGTAATACCTACATTTTTTGAAAAGAAAAACGAAACAATAAATCACAGAAATGCCTCTGCTCTGAACCATCCCCAAATCCTAGTCCCCTGTCCAGAGCTACCAGGTGGGCTGTATGTTTTCTTCATTTCTTGTGTTTAACACACTAAAGGCGATACCTGACCATCTCCCTCTTCACTAGTGATGATGACTTCCTTTGGAGCTTACTGTCAATGAACAATGATCATGTCCATTTAGAAGTTATTTTTTCCGCTTCTTAAAAAATAACCCACCTACAGGCACCCCACAATGTACATGAACATACCGAGATTTAGCAATTGCTGTGATTACTTCTTGTATTTTGCCTCCATTAATGACATTCTGAAGACCACTCCTGGTTCATGCAGCTGTCCCCTCTCCTACGTCAACCTAGCATGGTGACTGAGATGATACTACACCCATGCTGCCAAACTGCCCCTAGCAAAACCTTTCTGGCCAGTTCTCCTCTTAGGCAAAAGAAAGCCTGTTATCTCCACAGAGTAATCAATGCCAGATATTATCCCTTCCTTTATAAAGCCAATTTGATGGGTTAGAAATGGTAACTTGATGATTTTCAATTTTCTCCATTGCTGATGAAGTTAATCATAACTTTAACTGAGGAATTTGAAAGGTTGATATTAAAAGTTTTTTAAAAAATCAGTGGCCTCTATACTAAAAGCCTAATAAATGGGATCTATTTGCATCTGTCTTATTTCTATCCTTTTTTTGAAAGCTGGATTAATCTAAGACAATTCTCTGTATTCAAATTATTTCATTATTCACATAATTAAAAAATCACTGAGCACCAACTATGTGCCAAGCATTGTTTCAGATGCTGGAAAACAGCAAGGACCAGTCTCAGTTCTCATGAGGCTCACATCCTAGGACAGATAATAGACAAGAAGATCATCATCATTTTGATGTCTGCATAGGTGAGTCTTGTAAGATGCAGTCTGATGTGCTTATTCATACAGAGGGGTGAAGGGTGTGCAGGAAGGGGAGTTAGAGATAGAGGAAAGCTGGAACCCAGACCTGTGAAGCAGAGTGACAGGTACTAAGGCGTTCATCATGCTCTTTTTCTTGACTTTGGTACATTCTGAACATTTCTTTAACAAAATCACTAGCAGCATCTTAGTACATTACTTAAGCCCTGGGAAGTTTTTTTTTTTTTTTTTTTTTTTTCCCCTTTCCTTTTGGCTAGATTGCAATTTCCAAGAGTCCCCAGGCCATGCCACCTCCCTATCACTACTCTGGATGAGCTATTATGATTAACTCAAAGCCAATTTAAGAAAAGCTGTGGAAAAGCCACTCTCATTAGGAGATTTAAGAATTTTTGTAAAATGGGATCTAGGCTTGGTATGAAATAATGACACTGGAGAATACGCTAATTTTCTTGGGGGTGGCAACAGCTGGGTGATTTTTGCTAGAACATCCCTTCCCGGTTTTGTTTGAAGATACGCACACCGAATTACTTACTACAAAACACCTAAGCAACATGCTTAATAAAGTTGACAAGAGTTAATCTGGGTGAAGAGACTGTGCATGTTACTTAACGCCACGGTGTGAAACGGTTTTCTTTCAATAATAAAAGGTTTAAAATTTCATTTTTAAACTATCTACTGCTACCGCTATTCGTTACTGTCGAGGGTCCGAGCCCCTCCCTGCAGCCCTGGCCGCAGGTGCCCACCGTGGACCCTCACACTACCTCCAGCGGGCTCCTGCGCTTCGGGCTCTTCGCTCAGAGAACCCAGCTTCTCTGCCATTTTCCAACGCGGGGTTTGTTTGTGCACCTGGGTCAACGATAAGTTAAAAAAATAACACCCACGTGAGGGCGAAGGGCAGTTTGCTTGGGACCTGACACATTCACTCCATCGGTTGACCTGGGGTGGAGGAATGACGAGTATTTGCTTTGAGCAGGCGCACGGTACCGGGCGCTCCTGATGGACAGTTAGCACGCATGCGCACCACTGTGAGGCAGTAACAGGTTCAACAGGAGCAGGACTAGGGCACTGGGGCGGTTAGGGAGGGAAGGAGGGAGGGTGGTGAGGACGGGAACCACACACAAACCAAGGAGGTCTCTATTCAGGATGCTTTTGTTGTGGCAGGTTGCCAAAGTCTGGGATAAATACGTTATGTGCCATAAGAGTTTGAATCCCGTTCTATTTGCAAAACTTCATTAAATAGCCTACGAGACAAAGTTATGTCCATTTCATAGAGAAGTACAACGAGCCTTAGACACCAAGGGCACCTCCTATGCAAAAAATTCCTGATCCTGGCCACTGTCTGAGACCAGGCACTACATGTCCTCTTTTTCAAGGAAGGCTACCTTCTCATTATTATTAGAAGCAGCCAGTGTAGACCCACGCAGCTTGCTTTCTGGTAGGGTACAAATGAACACAAATACATGAAGGGCAAAGGAGTATCCTTAGGGGCTTGGTTTTAAGCCTTTTACGTACAGTTTTTTTTGTTGTTTTGTTTTTCCTCTCTTTAAAACACCCTTCAGGTCAGTTCCAGGTACAGGCTGACCCTGTATTCCCAGTTCTAGAGCTCCTTTGGACCACCCCAGAAATCCTGGCTGCCCTGGACACTCTGAACTGACAGTCCAATGAGGAGACAGATTTAGGAAGAGGTTTAAGGGGACCGCCCCTGACAGAGGCTGGAGGAGGTGAGGCTGGAAGTGATGAAGGGGCTGGAAGAGCAGCCTTTATCTCTGGCTGCTGTCACTCATCTCCCATTTGTGGGCAGGCCTTGGATCTTGCCTGCCTGCCTGGGGAGACAGGGACCAGCCAAAGACAACCGACCCACCCACACTTCCAGGTCAGAGACCCAAGATGGTCACTCCCAGCAGTCTGGGAGCACCACCATTCAGAGTCCAGTGAATAAGCCATTATGGGGAGCTTGGTCCGTAGAGGTGGCTGGGGGTGTGGAATACTTAGGTGGGTAACGAATGAAGAGCCGGTCCTCTTCTTTCCTCACCCAGCGCAGAAGTTTGGTCACTACCAAGATGGCACCTGCCTTTGTCACCAGGGGGCTGAGGCAGGTATAGAGCTCAAATTTGGAGGTCACCTGGGGGTTTGAAAGGAGACAGAATCAGAGGCTGCAGTTGGCCGTGGATAATCCTATCCACCAAAACCCAGCCCCAGGTTTATCTCCTGCAGCTTAGAAGATGTACCTGGCAACATTTCTACCTGGTACTCCCTGGACACTAGGCTAAGGCGGGTAACCTGATCTTACTATGTCATAGGTGGGTCAAGGGTTCTCAGTTGAGTCTAGGGGTCAGCTGGAACTAGAGGCTTTAACAGGGATGCTGGCTGTTGGTGGGTGTGTGTGTGTGTGTGAGAGTGTGTGTGTGTGTTTGTCTCGGGGAGTATGTGGTTTATTCTCTGGCACTTGATTTGCTTATCTGTGGGCTGGAGATAATATTAACAACCGTGCTTAATACTCGATGAGCAATTATTATACAGTTCCACACTGCTGTATTTTCATCATTTAAGACCTGGGCATGATATAAAGAGGAACTCACTCTAATCTGCACAATAGCCTGAGATCTGATCCCACCACATCACTAGCACCTTTTCTGTGTCATTTTCACCACTCTTGCGTGGCTCCATCTGTCCCATGTCCCAATCACCTTGGCCTTTCCTTGCAGGAAAACACAGGCAGGCCCAGCCCCACCGCAAAGAACTGGAAGAATGCTCTCGCTCTGCTAGGTGTGCTCTTCCTCCAGATACCACATGGCTTGCTACTTCTTTCCACTTGAAGGCCATCTCCTCAGCAGACCTCCCCTGACCACCTGACTTTAAATACTGGGCCTCCCCTATCTTGGTTTTTAAATGCCAATCTCCATTAAAATGTACAAAAGTTCACTTTAATCTTGGAAAAATGGATGAGTCCAGGCCTGGTGCAGAGTCAAGTAAGCAGTGCTCACAGTAGACAAGACACGGCAGGAGACACAGGCATCAGCCTAGCTAAATCAGGGGTCCCACTGGCTAAATCAGACAATTTTAGCACCAAAATAAATGCTAGGAAAACAGATTAGCCACTGAAAATTAAAGAAAAACTCATGAGACCATATTGATATAAAATTAAAAATTCAATGAGTGGAACAAAGAAAAATTTTTCTTTATCCTAGAAAGGGTGGTGGGGTTAGAAAAGGCACCATTGGACAAACACTAGACTAATGACTACTGCAAAGCAGAATCATTAGCAGATATTAAAATTAGTGGTAAAATTATGATGAAAAAGAAGACACTGGCATGAATGCCACAGATATTTACTAATTACAGAGGGGAAAATATTAACTTTATCATGTAGAAATGTGGCAGACTAGGTAATCAAAGTCAATATCAACAAAAACAGGGACAAACTGGCATCCTAATCCCTTAAGACAATGCAGAAAAGGGCACATCACATCTGTGGTATTCTTACTCAAAAAGTTTGGAGTCAACTTACTCATGATAAAAAACCCAAGTTGAGGGACATTTTACAAGCTATATTTCTTCAAAAGTGTTAAGGTCATGAGGCAGAAAAGACTGAGAACAGTTCTAGAATGTGACCAGAGAAACATAATAAACAGGTTCAACATGTGATCCTAGACTGGATTCTAGACCAGTCAAAGGACGTCAGTGGGAGACTTGGTAGAATCTGAATCAAGTCTGTTGATCAACTGTTATTCAACCAATGTTAACTTCCTGCTTTTGATAAGTTACTGTGGCTTTATTAGATGTTAATCTTTGGTGACTTTATGTTAATCTTTGGTTTCTTTATGTTAAGTCTTTGTATTATTTTTGCCAACTTCAACTTCCAACTATGTCTAAAATTACTTGAAAATGAAACTTAAAAAAAATTGAAAATTAAAATCCTCTGCCTAAAACAATGCCTAATACACAACAGATTTGCAATAAATTATTTAACAAATGTCAGAGCCAGGGGGACATGCCATTTCCAATGGGGTTCCCTTGACTGACCTCCCAGAAGGGCTGACCTTTAACAAATCCACAAGAAGTGAGGCAGGAGCCCAGAGAAGGAAACCCAGATAGAGGGCACAGCATGGGACTGAGGTGTGCTGAGGACTCAAGAAATCAAAACTGTAGTGGTGGAAAGTGGGGACTCAGGGGCTCAGTAATGGTTAATGGGGTCTCCTGCAAGTCAGGATACTGGACTGGTTGCTAATGGGGGACAAGAAGAAGAACAGTGGGGCTAACATGGGATTGCACACAGTGGTAAATCCTTCTGCAGTTTGGAGATGTGTGTGATGGTGGGGACAGTGTTATAGACAGAGGCAGAGCCCAGGAAAAGGTCTAGTGCAGTGGAGGGCAAGGAGCCTTCAAGTGGGACATTAGCTCACTCACAACTCACCCAGGCCAGCAGCGTCTCCTTCTCAGCCACGTGGTAAATGAGGCGCAGGGGTCGGGAGGTGCTGTGCAGGCGGGCATGCAGGCGGTGGTACAGGTCTGACAGCCGCTGCCGCTCCTCCTCTCTGCTGTATGGGGCCTCGAGCTCTGGGCTGCCATGGGGGAGGGAGGTGGAGGGCAAGGTGAGTGGAGGGCCTTCTTGGCTGGCCCATCTCCTCTCTTAGGTTGACCATCCTTGTTGGACAAACTGTCCCACCCGGCCAACCACCCACAGGGTCACGGCCCACCTGGTAAACTGGGGCAGCTGGCGGTGGTGGTCAGGGATGTCCAGTGGCTTATAAAGGAAGTGCCGGAGACCAGGTGCCCCCACAGCCTGCACACTGTAGGCAGGGGCATTGGCTGCTGGGGCATTAGAGAGGCTGGCAGGTTCCCCAAGGGCACGCAGGGCACCGAGGGCCCGCATTCCATCTTCCACCAGGCGCCGGCAGGCAGCCATGGCATGGAAGGCTTCACGGTGGGTGCCGAGCAGCAGCAGGCAGACGGGCATGGCATCCAGTCGGGCCACATAGGCATAGAAGAAACCATCGGGGTTAAAGCGGGGCAGGCATACAGGTGCCCAGGCCTCACCTGCCGCAAAGGCTGGTGCACCCACCCAGTCAAGCAGCAACTGCAGGTCTGCAGGGTCCAGTCGGCACTCAGCCAGCACATTACGCTCCTGGGCAGCTGTTATCAGCCGGCCCCCAACTGCCAGCACTGACAGTGCCAGCCCGGGTGCTGTGCAGCGCCTCAGCAGGGCACCCAGGGCTTCCCGCAATGGGCGGGCAAGGGGCACGCAGCGCACGGCCCCTAGCAGCAGGGCACCCGGGTCCCGTTCCACACTGTCCAAAAGCCGGTCCAGAGTCCGCTCCGAGCCAGCCAGCAGGCGGCGGAGGTCGTAGTTCTGCTTGTGTGCGAAGATGCGGGCCACGCTTGCTCGTGTCAGAGTGCTCACGATCTGGGCGTGCACAGCCAGGAGCTCCCTCCGCAGCTGCGCTGCTGACTGAGGAGTCCTGGACACAGCCACCAGCAGCAGTGGGCCCTGCTGTAGGAACACCAGCTTGTGGTCCTCTGGGGAAGGGAAGGGGCAGGGCGAGGGGTAGAGCTGTATCAGGAGTGACTGGGAGTGGGGCGGAGCTCTTTTGCCCCCTCACCCCAGCACACAACACCAGGCCCAAGTCCCCACCACTGCTCTGCAGACACCTGCTAGGACAAGTATGAGCTGGGAAAATTGGACCTTTGTAGAAATGTGATGGGATGTCAAGGGATGAGTAGGTTAGAACACAGCACCAAGTGGGTGGTGGGAGATGAAATGGAGCAAGAAGCCTCATGAAGGCAGGACACCCAACCTCAGTCCCCACAGCCATGCCCTC